GGGAGAACAACGGAGAGAGCTCTTCATCCACTGGCCACTGCTCCACTGCGGTGACCAGTGATGGGCCAGACCAAAGTCAGGAGCTTCTTTCCGGTCTCCCATGTGGGTGGCAGGGGCCCATGCATCTGGACCATCCTCTGCTGCTTTTCCCAGGTGCATGAGCAGGGAACTGCTTAGGAAGTAGAGCAGCCAGGACACGAACCAGTGCCCACATGGGATGCTGGTGCTGCAGGCAGCAGCTTGGCTTGCTATGCCACAACGCTGAGCCCTCACCCCATATTTTAAAAGTTACAGTAGATAACAGTGGTCCTGGCACAGGCACACACATGCTGAACAATGAGGAATGGATGGAAACAGGAGGGGAATGTGGAACATCACTGCGGTGGGAAAGGGGCCTTATTTGATTGATGAAGTTATTTCATGGGATTAACCATTTGGAGAAAAATTAACTAGATGCTATCCGTATAGTCTCTCCTAACAAAATCCAGATGAGCTGGAGATTTAAGGATAAACATGCAGAAACCCAACTATTAGAATTAGGAATGTACTTGTTTATAATTTTTTAAAGAAGTTATTTATTTTTGAAAGAGTTACAGAGAGCAGGAGAGACAGAGAGAGATCTTCCATCTGCTGGCTTACTCCCCAGATGGCCACAACTGCCAGCACTGAGCCAGCGCAAAGCAGGTGCCAGGAACTTCATTCGGGTCTCCCACATGGGTGGCAGAGGCTCGAGGATTTGGGCTGTCTTCTGCCGCTTTTCCCGGGCCGTGAGGGAGGGAGCTGGGTGGGAAGTGAAGCAGCCAGGACTTGAACTGGCACTCACATGTGATGCCACGTCACAGGCAGCAGCTTTATCTGTTGTGTCACGACAGTGGCCCCGCATGTTTATAATTTTCTTTAAGGTTGCCTAGCTAACATGGGCTGTTGGTGAACTTCTCATTCTAACCTGCTTCACGCCAGTATCTAGGCTTTTGGGGGACAGCCAGGCATCCCTGCAGACAGCTTGTTTTTCCAGAAAATGCCTTTGGAGCAAAGGGATTTTGTGGATTTACATTTAAAGGGCACTGTCTGTTCAAGCCAAGCACATTGCTGAGGGCAGGAACGATGGATGATGAGAATAGACATCCAAACACAGACATGCAAGTGCACCTGCTTCCAAAGATGTGCTACATGGGATCTGAAACTGACGGAGCCTTTGCAACACATGGGAGTGAGTCTGCATCTTCAATACAAACACGCAGCTAGGGCCCCTGCCGATTTGTCTCTCCTCTCCTCTCCTCTCCCCTCCCCTCCCCTCCCCTCTCCTCCCCTCTCCTCCCCTCTCCTCTCCTCTCCTCTCTCCTCTCTCCTCTCTCCTCTCTTCTCCTCTCCTCTCCTCTCTCCTCTCTCCTCTCTTCTCTGTCTCATTTTTTTTAAGATTTATTTTTATTGGAAAGGCAAATTAATGGAGAGAGGGGGAGACAGAGAAAAAGATCTTCCATCTTGGCTTGAGCTGAGCCAATCTGAGAAACCAGGAGCTTCTTCCAGGTCTCCCACATGGGTGCAGGGTCCCAAGGCTTTCCCAGGCCACAAGCTGGGAGCTGGATGGGAAGTGGAGCAGCTGAAACACATACCGGCACTCCTATGGGAGCCTGGCACTTGCAAGGTGAGGATTTAGCTACCTTGCCATTGTGCCAGCCCTTCCCGCAGTTTCTCGTGGCGGCTGCTGCTTGTCTTCTGTGTGTCTCTGTTCTCTCAGTTGGAGAATGGACAGAGCCAGCCACAGATCTCCCATCCACTTCACCCTGTGAATACCGTTAACAGCCATACCAGGGGTATCAATGCTGGGAGCCATGAACTCAAGGCTGGGCTCCCATGTGACAGGCCCAACTGCATGAGCCATGCGCTGCTGTCCGCCAGGGTCTGCTGTAGCAGGAAGCTGGAATCAGGGGCAGAGCCAGACTTGAACCCAGGACTCTGACAGGTCAGGCGAGCTTCCTGTGTGGTCTTAACCACTAAGCCAGTGCTGGCCCTGAGATGTCATGTTGAGACAAGCCTGGACGTGACTCGACAGAATACAAACTGCACCTTCCTGCGTCCCCTGCTGGAGAGGCCTGGCTGACACCTTCTTTTTCCCTGCTTGCTGCACGTGGGGGTGGCGGTGGGGAGCCTCCTTGGACCGTGGAGAGAGGAGGTCACCACTTTGGGAACCTTCAAGGACAGAGATGCCACAGTAATAGAGACCACCAGCCTACAGACAGTAACATGAGACTGCTTCCTGACCCACAACCATCCAGCTATTTTGATTTGCAAATTAAAGCACCCGAACCACCAGCACCACACACTGCAAACAAGCCTCGCCGTGGGTGGGAGGGCAGGGTGGCATCACCGGGGAAATGGGTTGGGATCAAATGTGTGCAGATACACAGCAAGAGAGCAGTGGCGGGTGGACGATGGGAGGGCTGACAGCCGGGAGATGGGGCCAGAGGGGCGAGACACGTGAAGAGGCTGGGCTGAACTTCTAGGGACCATAGCTAGTAAGGAGGAAAAGGAGAAGGGGCTGGAGGAAATGCTGTCAGAATCATAGAGGGCAAAGCAAGAAAATGTAGTTAGGGACATAGGTGAGCAGCTGGATCATCAACACGAGCCGCTCCAGTTAGAGACAGAGAGCACTTAGGGTGAGGGGCTGAGCTCAGCCGGGCGCCAGGGGGTCAAGATGGGGTCTCAGGCAGGAAGGCGGCGGCTGAGAAGGAACTTCTGGGGCATCAGGGATAATCCCAACCCCAGGAAGGGAACCTCCTGGAAGCGGAGCCATGCCCCACACTGATCTCAGGCACGGGCTGCCAGTTTGGTTTTCAGATTGTTTTGGGCCAAGTTGGAATTGGTGGAGTTACTGGTACTTAGGAAAGAAAAAGAGAAGATGGCAATGGACAGGCCCATCTAGCTCTGGAGTATTCTGAGGGGGCTTGACGCAGGCGAGAGGAGGGCAGAAGGCAGGGGCTGCAGTCACTTGGTGGCCTGTCCTGGGTGGGGTGGGTGCTGCTGCTGGACCTCACGGTGGCTCAAGTCCCTCAGGGTAGCCCCTCCTCTGTGGATGGCAGATGGGCTGCCCTACTTCACAGGAATGTTGTGGGGGACAGAGGAGCATGTGGGGGTCTCAGCCTCACAACCGTGGCATTTGCTAGCATCCCTGGCCCTGCTCTGCATTCACTCCCACAGAGGTTCTGTGATACAATTATTGGGGAACAGTGAAAAAATATCCCTCTTATTTGTAATGGTCACAGTGGGTCATCAGATGCCTGGCTTGGTGAGTTTGTTATCTTCCCACCCAGGCACAGAGGGCAAACCGGCATCCCTGGGGACCAAGAAGCCGGCAGCAGGTGACATGGGTTCATGTACACGCTGCCAGAGGCACGTGCTGAGGTTGTTTTGCATGTGTGGTTGCATTGGCTTCTAACGACAGGGAGTGTGCAATGCGGGGACCTTATGTTGCAGCTGAAAAAGGTGAGAGCTCAAGGAAGGTGAGACCGCGAGCAGCCAGGGTCCCTTAGCAGCTTCTGCCAAGAGACCCGCGCCTGGTATTCTAAAAGAGGCTTCGCTGCCCCCAGCTTGGGGCCGGGCCCTGACATCCGTGGGACACACATCTCCCACGGAGTGTTGTACAGAGGGAGGAGCTCGTGGGTCCAGAGAAGCACCTTTCCAAAAAATTATTTATTTGGCAGAATGTTGGAGAGAGAGAAAATGATACTCTTCTAGCCACTGGATCAGTGCCCAGATGGCTGTAACAGGTTTGGACTACATGGTAAACAGGAGCCAGGAACTCTGTCGGGGTCTCCCACGGGGGGAGGGGACCCTAAGGACGTGGGTCATCCTATGCCGCCTTCCCAGTTACATCTGGAAGGAAGCAGGGTCCGAAGGAGAGCAGTTGGCGCTCACACCAGCCCTCTGGTTGCACCCTAACCAGAAACATCTGGAACATCAGGCACAGAGAGATTTACAACAGCCATGAAGAGCAGAATGGGCCCACCACGACTTCATACCATGATAAAATGGTCGGAATCACTACTCCTGAGCCTTGGGGGCCATCGCTGAGTGTAATCAAGGCTTGAACACAAGCCCTCGGGTACTGCGCAGTGGCTATGGTAGCCGCAACAGCCTCCAGATAAATCCAAGGCAGGGAGTGTATACTGCATGGAAACTGAGCAGAGCAATAAGTCACGATTCTTTACCGGATGGTTGCCAGACAGGACTCCAGTTTCAAACTTACAAGTGGATTTCTGAAGTTTTCCACTTAATCTTTTCTGACCCTGGGTAACAGGGGAACAGTACAGTAGCACAGGCAAAGTGTTCAAGGTGGTTTCCACGGGCTAAAACCTTGTCAGGTGGGAGAGGGAGAGATGAGTGGCTGTGCAAGGAGGAGAATCAAGGTTGGTGGAAGGTAGCCTTATCAAGAAGCCCACCGCGGAGGTTCATGGCCGCAGAGTGCTTGGAGTAGGCATTTAGCGGGGCACGGAGTACCACATCCCACATTGGAGGACCTGGGTTCAGTCCCTGGCTCAGCTTCCTGACTGCTGCTTCCTGCACGCACACCCTGGGAGGCAGGGACGGTGGCTCACGCCAGTGTCCTGGTGTTCCCTCTCCACCACCATCTCGCAGGATGATCCTGCACCTGCAACCGCTCCGAGGTAACACACAGCCCGGGTATAATATTGAAGTTTCCTGAGCCGAGCAGGGAGCAGCGGCCAGTTCCCAGCCTTCTCACCTGGGCGACAGGTGGGAATGTCCCCAGAGTGACAGGCCGACTTGGAGATGTGGGCGAGAAAGCCACTGAAGAGTCATGTTTTAAAGAAGGTGGGGCCCGGGAGAGTCGGGGCACAAGCACCCTGGCCTCCCTGCGCGCCCCGGGCCCCAGGTCCGCCTGCGCCCCCTGGCCACCCCTCGCGCCCTGGGCCCCACCCGCGCCCCCTGGACCCCTGTGCGCCCCGCACGCCCCGAGCCACGCGGCGCGCGCGTGACAGCCCCGCCCCGGCCCGCCCCCGGCCGGGCGCTCGCAGCCCCGCGCAGCAGGGCCGGGCTCGGCTCCCAGCGCCGCGGAGCACTCGGCCCTGGCAGACGCCCCGAGATTGTTGTGAGGAGTCGCGCCAGTGGGTGAGCGCCGTAATCTGAACCAGCTGCGTCCAGACCGAGGCCCCATTTGCATTGTTTAACATACTTCGAAAATGAAGTGTTCATTTTTAACATTCCTCCTCCAATTGGTTTAATGCTGAATTACTGAAGAGGGCTAAGCGAAACCAGGTGCCTGCGGCCAGGGCTCGCAGTGGCTCCCAGCAACCCCGGCGCGCTCCCCGAGTCCGCGCCGCCCGCTCGCCACTCGCTCGGCCCCTCTGGAATAGAAATTGCCGCGAGCCCCAGGGGCCCCGCGCAGGCCGCCGCGCCGCCGCTCCTCCGAGGGTCCCGCCGGGGAGAGCCCTCCACACTCCGCGCCTTGGCCTCTCCGCGCGCGCCTCCGGACATGCCCGGCTTCGGAAGGTGAGCTCCGACCGCCGCGCTTTGCTCCAGGGGTCTGGAAACTTTGTTGCAAGACCTGACGGATTGGAAAAATAGCTGTGGCTGGGATTCAGGCAGTGTCAGGATATTGGAAAAGGCATTGGCTAGTGATGCAATGATACCGTTAATTATAAAAAGCTGCGTCTGTGTGATTCGCATCTTGAAGCCTTCTTGGGGGAGTGGGTGTTTTTTTCACACCGTTTCGGGACCGGGAGATTCTCAGGGCTTTGCATCTTCCTTCTTTGGGGAGGGGGCGGCGGGGGTGGTAGTGTACACAGGCAGCAACTTGGCGCACCTTTTTAGACTTTTAAAAACTATGTGTATCTACGTATATACATATAAATAAATTTGGGAGCCCAATTTCTAGTTCCCTAGAGATGATCTGGCTGTATCAGCCATTGCCCAAGCCGGCGGGCTCGCTGCTCTGCCCGAGAGTGCCTCTGCTCCGTGTCTGCGTGGGTCCCTGGAGTTTCCAGCAGAGGTGCATGGGGGCTCCTCCCGGCTGCTTCTAGGGACACTGCAGTCACAGCGCAGTCACCCTGCAACCTGGACAGGCTCGATTTAGGTGGCATCTACGCTGTCCCTTCTGTGGACTCTTGAAGACATAGCTGCCATTGGCAAGCAAACTGCCTGTGTCCGTGGCACACACGCAGACCACTGATGTCTCCGTGTCGTCTTGGCCCCGGGACCAGACCTTGTCTCTGCCCTCCTCCTGTAGGGTGGCGTGCAAAGCCAGTGGTCTCACCTACTGTACAAACCTCTCAGGATCACCGATGACAATTTCCCCCTCCCAGCCCCTGGGGTCCTGCCCTCGGTGCATCTTTTTTTTGTGGGGGGGGACTTTTTCCAGGGTTTTTCCTGACAAGGTGCAGCTCTTGGTCCAACTGCAAGAGCAGTGGTGTTGGCTATTTATTTCTTTTTGGAAAACCTTCTCTGTGAGCCTGGAGCTGACTTGGCCCCCAGCACCCGGCTGTAGCTCTTCCAGGAGGTCGGGCTTGCGAACTGGCCCCGGCCAGCCCCTGGGGCTGCTTCCAGCCAAGAGCGGGGAGGAAGGGGGAGACACGGGTTAGCATGCCTTTCCCACCAGCCCTCGAAGCCCACTGCATGCAGTCAGTCTGTTCTGTCTCCAACATAAACGAGACAGGATTTTATAACCCACCGAAAGGAAACTTCATGTGAAGAAACAGGAAAACATTGAAATTCATAATATACAGACTGGAAAATAAATTTGTTATTGTTCTTTCATTCCTTCCAGATAGAAATCTGGCTGTTGCAAAAAAAAAAAAATCACAAAGTCTTGGGATTTGGCTCTGCACTCTATAAGGTCAGGGCTGTCTCAAGTCTTCTAGAACCGGGCTCATGCCGGAGTGTGGATGGGATGGAAGCCTGTGGGTGCACTGTCTGTGTTTGGGTCTGTGGGGGCCAGAAGCGTGAATGGGCTTGCAACTCTCACTCAGCCTCAGGTCTCTGGTTCCTCTGAATGGCTCCTGACTCCAGTGTTTCAAGTGCTCCCCCCACCCCTGGGTGCCAGCTCAGGCAGGCTGTGTGTCTGAGACGTAAGGAAGCTGTGTAAGGAAGCTGTGTAATGTGGTAGAAATTCTTAGAGAGAGATTGCAGAGGGCCCTGGCTGCTTTGGGCAGACATAGGCCACTGAAGCCAACCAGGACCCAATCTACTGCCCCACTGAGAAAGTCTGTGATGTCACCTCCAGCAGGAAGTCTTCCCTGATCTGTCTGGTGGCAGTTCCACCAAGCTCTCTCAGCATCCAGTGGGCATTTCTGTCCGTGTCCTCCGTGGGTTGTAGACACATCATCTGCCCATGTGGCCCTGGAGCACAGTGGCCAGGTCCTGCATTTGTAGCTCTCTGCCCAGTGTCCTTGGCTACAAGAGGTGCTTGCTTGGATCAGTCACCACTGACCCCAGCAGAAGTCACACTAGACACAGTGTAGCATTTTACACCTTAACCACTCTGAAGCAGCCAGCTCAGTGGTCACTAACAGCCAGGACTATTTTCAACTTGTAAAACTAGAACAACTCTGGTCCCTGTACACAGAAGTTCCTGCCTTCTCTCTGCTGAGCTCCTGGCGGTCATCACTCTCTCTGCCTGCTCTAGGTACCATGTGAGGAATCAGACAGTGCCCGCCGATGGCTGTGTGCTGCACGTAGCATAGCGTCCTCTGAGTTGCCCATGCGGTCGCCTGTGCCAGGATGTCCTGCCTCTTGAAGGCTATGTCCCCTCAGATGCAGAGACCACATTTACCCTTCCCTCTGGTGTGTGTTGGCCTTGCGGCCGTTGAGACTGTCTCTGCTTTCCGATCTTGGGGGTGTGTCCCTCGAGGTCAGCTTGCTGGATTGCGTGTTGCTTCCACGTTTAAGTTGGGGAGGACTCCTTCGTCTTTTCCATAGTAGCTGCACTGTCAACCATCAGCATCACATTAAAATGACAGTTTCTCTTCATTGTCCCCAACACTTGTGATCGTTGCATGACCATCATAACAGGCATGAGGAGATACAGATTTACATTTTTCTGGCATATCAGTGGCCACGGTCTCACTGGATGAAGGCCTGTGGGTGAGACAGGGCAGGGGGACGGGCTTAGGGATGGTCAGGAGCTTGTGACGGGCAGCACCGATTGCCTGTGGTTTCCAGGCCACTCTGCCTACGGGATTTGTTCCTCTTCCATCTGCATGGGGGTCTCTGCATGCTCCCCTCCATTGGGACTTGCTGGGGCAGCGTGTTTTGGCCATATCTGGAAGAACCACACTGGGGGATTAGGCTGTCCCAGCCCACCTATGGTTATGAACGTGGCCTGAGGGGTACAGCTCTGGCCACGTGACACCTCTCTCCATTTTCCACTTTTCCTTTCACAGAGTGAGGTGTGGTTTGAAAAGTCTGCCATGACCATTGCCAAGCAGAGGGGTTCAAAATGCAGAGAGATCTTGCATGAGGAATGGGCACTAACAACACGTTGTGTAGCCCACAGTATGACTTTCAGACTTTTTGGTGGGAAGAGAGGAAGAAGTTAAACCCTTTATTTAAAAACTTGATTCAACTGCTTACCGTACTATATGAAGCCAGCAGAAGATAAGAGGCTGTGTGGGATGGTCAGGGTAGCTGGAAGCCCCTTTGTCCTCCTGGGAGTGTCACCCCTCCCACGTGGCGACATCATGGCCCTCCTGACAGGCAAGCTTTCCCTGAAGAAGCCAAGGGGCTCACATCTGATTTCTCTCTCTCTGCAGGATACTCACCGTCACCATTCTGGCGCTCTGGGTGCCCAGTCCCGGGAAGGCTCAGGTAAGCATCCCGTGTTTTTGGATTGTCTGGGGATCTGATCGGAAGCCAGGCCAGGGGACACCAACCTTGCATGTGGGAGATCCAGGATGGTGGAGGCCGGGAGGCCTTGGCAGGGTGCCTAACCAGGGCTCTTGGTTATACAGAAATGACAGTGGTGTTGCAGACAGATGCAGACTTGGCCCAGGAGACACACTTTCTGAGTGGCAGGGCTCACAGCAGGACTCAGGATTTTGACTCCCAAATCCAAGGCTGTCTTAGTCAAGGTCATGGGCAGTTTGTGGGCATAGCAGCTAAGATGCTGGTTGGAACACCTGCATTCCTCACCCAAGTGCTTGAATGGGAGTCCGATTCCACAGCAGGCCTGGCTCAAGTCCTTGGATTCTTGCCACCCATGTGGGAGACCTGGGTGGAGTCCCTGATGCCCAGATTCAGCCTGGCTCAGCCCCCGTTGCGATGGGCATTTGAGGAATGAACCAGCTCTATCTATCTCTCAAATACGACATCATTTTTTTTTTAAACTGAATTCTGCTGCCTCCTGATTTTTCTTACACATTCAAACCAAGACGTGATCTGGTATTTCTGGGCCATGATGTCCCCAGGCTGACTGCTGAGCGTGCTTGGTGGCTCTCTGCCTGTTCCTACACATGTCCCCTACTGCAGGAGGGGCAGTAGGATGGGGCACCCTGAGAAATGCAGCTCTAGGGCTGGGAGTGCCCTTTGCAGGTTAGGGGCCCCAGGGAGGAGTGTGAAGGGGGTGGGTGGGCCTTGCTCAGGGCAAGGGTTTAGAAGCACCTGCAACAGCCTAGACTTTGTAATGTGGCGGGAGAGGGAATCCAGGTGGGCCAAGCCCCTCCTGCAGGCTCAGAGTGCCCCACCCCGACCATGTCCCTAGTCTGAGGAAGCCACAAGAGGAGCCCCTAGAGCTGCCCCCTCCAGCCTGTGGGACACCTTTGAAGGCACTGAGTGGGGCTCAGATTGGGCAGCAGTCACAGGTGTGTGTGTGTGTGTGTGTGTGTTCTGTGGGTGGCCACGTTGTGTGTAGTAACACACTGAGTACTCATGCTGCTTAGAAGTGAAGACTATCATCCCATTTTAGACAGGAAGACTGAGGCATGGGAAAGTTCTGCAGAGGGTATGGATGAGAGCAGATTATGGAGTCAAGCAGCCCAGTGGACTTTTTATTTTCTTTTAATATTTAATAATTTGGCAGGCATTGAGAAAGAGAGAGTGAGGGTCAGTGCTTCCCCGCACTGGTTCACTGCCTGAGTAGCCACAATGGCTGGAGCTGGCCTGGTCTACATCTGGAAGCCAGGAGCTTCTTCCAGGTGCAGGAGCCCAAGCACGTGGACCACCCTCTGCTGCCGCCCCAAGCACATTAGCAGGAAGCTGGATTGGAAGTGGAGCAGCTGGCACTCAAACCAGTGCCCACAGGAGATATGACGCCGTGTGTCCAGCTTTATCCACTACATCGTGAGGCCTGGCACCCTGAGAGTGAGGACCTGTGATGCCCAGAGCCCTTGTCCTTCAGTGCAGTCTGTCCATTCCCAAAAGAGAATGGACACCTGGGACACGTGGTGCCCGGATGTGGGTAGCATCACTTTTCCTGAGAAAGAATGAATAGCCTGAGGAGATGCAGGTGTGTTCTGGGCTGTGAAGGCACCATTCCCACATCCATGTGGCAGACTGCCTGGCTCCTGACGCATTAGTTTCCTGCTAATGCAGACTATGGGGGCAACAGACTGGCTCAAGTGCCAGGGTCCCTGCTGCCCACATGGGAGCCCTGTATTGAGCTCCTGCCTCCCAGTGTGGGCCTCTGGGGAGTGAACCAGTGAGTGGTGGTGTCTGTCTGTCCCCTTGTAAACATTTTTTTTCTAAAGATTATTTGTTTTATTTGAGAGAGGGAGAGAAGATGAGGAAAATTAAGAAAATGATCAATCGATTAACTCATCTTACACCCTCTGGTTCCCAAATGCCTGCGGTAGCAGATGGCCAGAGCTGGGCAGGAGCCAGGAACTCCATCAGGGTCTCCCACATCAGTGGCAGGGCTCCACCTCCTGGGACCATTCCAGGCACATGAATGTGGAACCGGGTCGGAAGTGGCCCCGCCATCATTCAAGCTCTGATAGGGGAGCCTGATGTGACAGCTGGTGGCTTGACCTGCCGTGCCACGATGCAGGCCCCTGCAAAAATCTCTTTTTGAAAAGTGATAAAAATGGGGAGTGAGGAGCAACGATGAGGAGGCTGGGGGGTGATGCTAAGGATGGAACGACTGTAAGGGGAAAGTGTAAGAAGAGTCCGTGGGAGCTGCAGTGCGGGGTGGGGTCTTTAAACTCCATCTCCTGGATGCTCCGCCATGCAGCCCAGATGCTCTGGTAACAGAGGACGGCAGGACGTGGCGAACTGACCTTGCGTGTCTCCTCTGTTCTTTCCCACAGCAACAATGCACTAACGGCTTTGACCTGGACCGCCAGTCGGGACAGTGTTTAGGTAGGAGCCCACGCAGATCTCTCTCTGGGCTGGGGTTGGGGAGGGACAGGACTCAGGGCCAGCCTACGGTGGCTGAGCAGGGGGCAGGTGTGTGCATTTTTTACCTCAGTTGTTCCACCTTGTCCAGTCCTTGATGGCCTTGTCCATGGCCACCCCGGTGACGTGCAGGGACAGAAGGCAGTGGTGCCTTTCCCTCCTTTAGCTGCTGAGCGCAGCGAGGGCTGGGAGAACTGACCCCTGCCCGCAAGGGGCTTTCTGGCTGGTACTGCCACTATACCATGACCACAGACTTGGTGGCTTGGTCAATATCCACATTAATGACCTCTTAGTTTCCTAGGCAGGGAGTTCAACCTGGGTGTACCAGGCCACAGTCAACAGGTGTCAGCGTGGCTGTGTTGCTTTCTGGGGGAGAAACGGAGGCTCCACTACCCCACTCACTCAGGGAAGTTTGGTATAGCTGAAGCTGAGTCCCTCTTTTTTCACTGAGGACCTTCTTAGCTTCCCCTCTTTCTTGGCTGGTGGTCCCCTGATCCATCCTGAAAAAGACTCATAGTGAGTCAAATATACTTTGCATCTCCACTCTTTTTTCCCCCTTGTAGCACCTCTCTGGCTGATCCCCTGCCCCGTCTGCTGCTTTGAAGGACTTGCATTCCTTAGGGTCCCCCCAACCTCTGAATTGGTGCAGGATAAGCTCCCCAGCTCCAGGGCAGCTGACTAGTGACCTAAATTTATTTATTTATTTATTTATTTATTTATTTATTTAGAAAGTCAGATATACAGAGAGGAGGAGAAACAGAGAGGAAGATCTTCCATCCTATGATTCACTCCCCAAGTGGCCGCAACGACCGGTGCTGTGCCAATCCGAAACCAGGAACCAGGAACTTCTTTCCGGGTCTCCCACGTGGGTGCAGGGTCCCAAGGCTTTGGGCCATCCTCAAGTGCTTCCCCAGATCACAAGCAGGGAGCTGGATAGGAAGTGGAGTTGCCAGGATTAGAACCAGCACCCATATGGGATCCCAGTGCGTTCAAGGCGAGGACCTTAACCATTACGCTGTCACACCCGGCCCAAGCGACCTAAATTTAGACCGCTGCCATCATTCCCCTTTGCCTTGTCACTTTAACCTAGTCACAGGGAACAGGATGGTTTGGGTACATGTGTCTCAGGGGTGGGGCTCAGCATGGCATGGGTTTCTTAGGTAGGAGGGCTGCTGGGAAGAGCTGCTGCAAGGCCTCCTCTGCCCAGGAAGCAGCCTCTGAGGCTGGCCACATGACCCAGGTTCCAGAAGGGGCTCAGCTGCTGGCTGCCCCCCGCTCCCCACATGCCCCTGATAGGCCAACATCATCATTTCCCAGCGCCATTAGGGACTGTGGGTGCTGCCTTGTGGGGCTCAGTGGATGCTGCCTTGAAAGCAAGGCTTTGGATGACACACCTGTTGCTCTGACTCAGGGAGGTAGGTGTTTGGGAGCTCCGGTGTCACCTGTGGGTAGCAGGAGCTGGCTGACCCGGCGTGTCTTGAGGTCTTCCCCACGCATGGCTGTTTGTCTTTGGAGCTCCCTTGCAATGCACATGCATGTGTATGGCGTGTGTTTGAGGCCAGCTAACACAGCGTTCCCGTGTGTGACCTCCGCAGATGTGGACGAATGCCGGACCATCCCCGAGGCGTGCCGTGGAGACATGATGTGTGTGAATCAGAATGGTGGCTACCTGTGCATCCCACGGACGAACACCATGTACCGTGGGCCCTATTCCAACCCCTATTCCACATCCTACTCGGGACCCTACCCGGCGGCTGCTCCACCTCTCTCAGCACCCAACTACCCCACGATTTCCAGGCCTCTCATCTGCCGCTTCGGGTACCAGATGGATGAAGGCAACCAGTGTGTGGGTGAGTAGCCGCCATCTTCCTTCCTCCCCAGGGTGTGACCCCAGCCTAGGGTGTCACGTTCTTCCCATGGGCACCTGTCATCCCTACAGACTGTATCGCTGTTCCTGTCGCAGTCCCCAGGTACACTCTGCTGTGTCAGTCACGGTCCTCCGAAAGGCACTTGTCTTCTGTCTCCTGTCTCTCCTCTGTATACTCAGCAACTACACTCAGGCTTTTCCCAGTTAACCGACACTTGTGTCTGCTCAAACTTGGTACGTGAATTCCCTAGAGTTCTAGAAAGGGCCAGAGCTCTGTCTTCCCTTCTCCTTTGCTTGATGTCCACCTGCAAAAGAAACCTGGAAGGCCCAGGTCAACTGCCCTGGAAGGAAAGCTGGTTCTTTTGGTGGGAACCAAAGTAGTTCTGATCAAAAGAGGTCGCTTTGATGAGAACTCACAGCAAGAGACCCCAGGCAGTGGCCAGGATGTACTTGCACCCACTGACCACTGTGGCCCTCGCTGTGGTCCTGTTGGCTGTGAGCAAAGCCTGTAGCCTTGTGTGGCATTGGGACATGCTCTCAATGAACACTGCGGCCTTTTTGGATCATATACTCCCATCTGCAAAGTCTCCCTGTGCTTGCATCCCCATTCTGTGCATATCCTATTATCTGGATTATAACATCCATGCGTATCCTGTGATACTCTACGGTTCAGAGCACAGTGCACAGAGCACTTATAGAAAATAGAAATAGATGAGCCCTCCAGGGCTCTTTTCGCACACATCTTGGGTGCCAGGCTTTGGGGCAAGGCCTTGGGGGCTGGCAGGGCAGGCCACACTGGCTGTCTCAGCCCTCCTGCTGGCTGCTTTTGCACAGCAGTTGGGAGCTGTTACCACAAAGCCCTCTGGAATCCTGCCTTCCCTCTTGCCAGAATCCCCAGTGCCCTTGGCCATGAGGACATGTCTGGGAGATCAATTCATGCCCACTCCCTGTGACGTCATGCCATCATTGGCTCCGAACCTGTTCCCGAGGAGATGCCGGGCCTTCATAATGACCCTTTTGTAAGGAAAACACAGTCCAGGAACCCCGGGCGAAGACTGGCACGGGGCCTCCATTGCAGAAATGCCTTGCATTATGCTTTTAGGAGTTGCAGCTCCTGCTGACTTCCCTCCGGCCCACCCCCAGCTTCCTGCCCAGCCTGGGGAGGTCCCTCGGGGCTTTGTGAGAGGGGCCCCAGGGGGCAGAGGGCAAAAGCAAGGGGCAGAGCTTTCTCCCCTGTTCTTCCAGGAACTGGGCTGGGATGGGAACAGGCATGGGCAAGCAAGGTGGCAGAAGAGAGCAGGGGAAGATGGGGCATGGGGGCATGCCAAGGGAAGCCAAGAAGGTGAGCCCTGAGGGGTCACTGCTCCCACAGGAGGGGGCCAGGCCGTCCCAGATATAGCTCTGGGTGTGGCAGCACCTTGTGAGCCCTGGGAGAGTTTGGGAAGCCTTGCTCCTCCCCCACTTCCTCCAAGTTGAAGCCAACCCTCAGCAGTGACTGCCACAGCATTAATGGTGACTGTGGGGGACTGTTTGATGGGAAGGGGGTGATGTGTCAGTTACTGACCTTATCGTGTTGATATAGTGCAAGGTGTCTCGATCACGAACATGTCTCTCGTTCCTGCCATAAGACGCCTTATAGCCCTTACCCTCTGGCTCCCTTCTGTCCCTTGAAATGAGCTTTCATGTTACCAGTCTTGTAGAGGGTTTGGGGTTTGTTTTAATCAATTAATTATTTGAAAGGTAGGGCCTGGTGCAATGGTTCAGTGGTTCAATTCTTGCCTTGCATATGCCGAGATCCCATATGAGCGCCGGTTCATGTCCTGCTGCTCCACTTCCCATCCAGCTCCCTGCTTGTGGCCTGGGAAAGCAGTGGAGAATGACCCAGAGCCTTGGGACCCTGCACCCGTGTGGGAGACTCTGGAAGAAGTTCCTGGCTCCTGCTTTGGCTTAGCTCAGCTTCGGGCATTGTGGCCACTTGGGGAGTGACCAGCGGATGGAAGATCTTTGTCTCTCCTTCTCTTTGTAAAGCTGTCTTTCCAATTAAAATAAATCTTAAAAAAAAAAAAAAAGCAGTTACCGAAAGGGAGAGAACGATTTTCTATTCTCTGAATTTCTTCCCAAATAATCACAGTAGCCAGTATTGGGCCAGGGCTGAGGCGAGGTGTGGGGAACTCTATCTGGGTCTCCTATGGGGGTGTTGGACCATCCTCTGCTGCATTCCCAGTGCATTAGCAGGGCGCTGGATCAGGAATGGAGCAGCGTGGACACAACCCAGTTCTGCAATATGGGATGGTAGCATTGCAGGTAACCCACTGTGCCACGTAGCTTGCCACAAGGGTTGAATTTCTTGCTGCTTTCCAGCAGTAGAAATTGGGGGCCAACCTGTGCTTCCAGGGAACCTCAACAGAGAGGCACCACAGGAAGTTGCTGAGAAGAGCTGTCCTCAAATGCCAGTGTGTAGGAGACTCGCCAGGAGAAAGATTCCAATCCCAGGGGGCCTGGGGCGAGTCATCCCACAGGTGAGGTGGAGCTGCTGGCCTGGGGACCACACCTTGAGTAGCAAGGTCCTGCTCCATCCAAGTCTCAGGACTGCAGTTAAAGAGAAACAGAAGGTTTACTTTATCTAAGTAAACCCTGAACTGCTTGAGCTTGTTAGTAGAACAAAACACACAAGGAAGGAATAATTTTTAAGTGTTGGGAGAGGCAGCATAGTGTGGCGGAGGAAGGGAGCAGATGAGAGGCAGGACTACCGTCTTTGGTGCTGCGTGGCTGTGTGGCACTCCTGGAGTTGCTTCCATCTTAAGACAAAGGGCTGGTCTTACATCAGGAGTCTTACCCTGGGATCTCTCCAGGGCGCAGGCCACAAGCCACCGGACTCATAGCAGCACATGGGACAACCAAAGACTCAAATATTTACATCTGGCTTGCCAGCAGCGGCAGCTGTTTTGAAATACCTTGAAGGATTTTAAATGTTTTGAAATACCATTCATGCAAATCACAACCTCAGAATGTCGAAGGTACTAGATCTGCTGCCGAATTTTTGCTAATGTTTATTAGTTAGTTAATTATCTGTTTGAAGCACACACAGAGACAGAGAGAGAGAGACACAGAGAGAGAGAGAGAGAAAGAGAGAAATCTGGTTCATCTGCTGGTTCACTTCCCAGGTGTCGTAATAGCAAGATCTGTGCCAAGCTAAAGGCAGGTGCCAGGAACTCCACCCTGAGCTGTCACATGGGTACCAGAGAGTCAATCACTTGGGTTCAATCTTTGCTGCCTTCCTGGGCACATTAGCAGGAAGCTGGATCACAAGTAGAGCAGCAGGGACTTGAACCTGACCCCTGATGTGGACTGCCAATGTGGGATGCGTGCATTGCACACCTTGGCCTGCCCGGCTGCGCCACAGCTCTGACCCCGTCTTGTTATTTGATGCACTGGGAAAGAGGTCTGCAAGAGCTTACCAAAATGCATACTAAGAGAAAAATCTGTAAAAGGTTTTTTATGCACCAAAGTCAACTTCTGTTTTCATTGCATTCTGCGTGACCTTTTTGAAGTTCTCTCATGTGACTGTCTACCTGGGTGTAACTTTATGACTCGTTTTAAGAGGAAGTTTCCATAAATGTCTTTCAGTCAGCTTGACCTCCCAGGCCATCCTATGTGTTTTATTTTGGGCAGTGCACAGCGTTTTTCTAAGGAAAGGGTCCGGGGACTCAGCAGTTAGCTTGGTGACACCTGCACCAATGGCCTCAGCTCTGCCCTGGGTAACTTGAGAATGTTCACAGCCCCTCAAGTTTTCTAGGCATACCACTTTTGTGTCCAGACAGTCTGGATTTCCTGTTAACTCTTTCTTGCCCACGTGGCCGGGGCCATGGTCTCCTCTACGGGTATTTTAGTCTGACTACATGCTCAGTGACATCTTCTGCTGGGCAGATGCCAATTCCCCATTCATAAGGAGGTTCCTCCTACCCCAGCTGCAGTTGGCTTTGGTGGCTGGCTCGCAGCTTGATGAGGTCAGGGCAGCCATTGGCCTCTCCTGCGTTGGGTGGGGTCCTGGTGGTGGGGCAAGGCCAGCCCTCGGTGCCTCTGTGCAGCTGGTCACTTCCCCATTGCCTAGCGTGGCAGTTTTCTCAATGACCTGTAAGTTGTTCTTGGCTCACGCCCTGTTCCTTTTTGTTATATTCCACTATGGAATCGGCCGGTGGTGTGGGAAAAGCAAGGGACCGGGTGAAATGTGGATCTTTCACAGCAGGGCTGCCCAGCTCTGCTTCCACTGATCCCAGCCCAGATACCAAGTTCCTGGGACTCCTGTGAGTAGCAGGCAGGGACAATGAGTGGCAGTCCCCTGCTCAACAGACCACATGGCCCTGTGCTTGCCCAGTTAGTGGGAGGGTGTGTTCAGGTGTATCTGTAAGAGGTGGATTGGGTCAGCCTTCTCTTCTGGTTGCAGATGCTTTTTTTCCTGGAACATGTATTTACTTGAAACACGGGGAGAGCAAGAGTGAAGATCTTTCATCTGTTGGGACTCTGAGACTGCAATATGGGAGGAGGGAAGTGGCTCCCAGCCATGACGATGGACACTGTGCCTAGTCTTGTTTTCAAGCATCCCGTTGGGAGTGGATTGACTGCGCAGCTAGGAGTGGGAGCTCAGAGTTGCTTACATGGGACTCTGTGCTCCTGCAGAGGTTCCCCTGGCCCTCACCTGCATGTGACTGGGGACCCCAGGGTGTCTGCTGCTCTACCCCAACCCAGCCATGATCTCAATGCAGAGTGATTTTGGAGGGAGGCCTTTGTGCTATCAGAAATGGTAAATAAGTAAAAATACCTTGAGTTTTGTGGCACCAAGGGTTAAGTTTGTAATGCTAGCATCCTGTAGTGGGGTGCTAGATGGCATCCCAGCTATTCCCCTTCTGATCCGGCTTCCTGCTGAGCAGCCTGGAGAGGCAGCAGAGGATGGCCCATGCATTTAGGCCCCTGCACCTGTTGTGG